CATCAATAGTCTTTAAGAACTGATTACAGGTATAACTGAATAAATCAAGTGGGTTACATGGAGCTCTGTCCTGAACCCAGTACTATTCAGTATTTTTCATTAACAATGTGAGGAAAACAGATAACAAAACATCTGATGAAAATAGAAGAAAATACATGCTTATGAAATATGCGGAGAAAGCTTAAGCTGGGTGGTTTAGTGAGTGTGCTAAAGTATAGGATAAGAGCTCAATATGTTCTTGAAAGACTGAGGAACTGATCTGAAAATTACTTTTATTTTGGAAAAGGCAGCATAATAAGAATATTACTCCTATTATTAATTACAGTACTAATCTAACCCGGAGTAACATCACTTACAATGAAAATCTTGAGATCCCATAATCAGTAACACTGAATTAAGCTAGTTCCTCATAAGTTTTGCTACAGTGTATTATAAAAGAATCGGGAATAATTATGAAACATTCTATAATAATACAAGTGAATACAGCAATTTACAAACAATTCAATTTCATAACACCTCCAGCTCTCAGAAAACACACAGATATGGTTCCGAGGCTCCTGAAAATTTCAGCACTATTACTTCATGTTTATGGCATAGTAGTGCCTAGAGATGTTGGTCAAGCAATGCCCCCACTGCGCTAGACACTGTAGAAAAACACTGAAAATGACAAGCTTTGCTCCAAATGTCTCCTGCTAGAAAACCCCAAGTGTTTTAAGACTCAAAGCCCACAGGCAGGAAACCTCAGCCCATTCAGATATGCCTTCCCTTTACAACTCAAAGCAGCACAGTAGCGCTTCACTCTGTTACAGGAAGTATACCCTGATCGTTAAACCTTAGCTTGACAAGGCAAGGAATAAATGGCAAACAGGCCACTTTCTACTAGATGAGCAGTGGTTGTTCTGCCACTAAGCAGGCCAAAGCTCCTTGGGTCTCCATCAGTTCCAGTGACACACATCATGGGGGCTTCTCTATGGTGGATAATACAAGCACGCTGGCTGGCGCTTGCCACTCTACATCTGGTCTATATTAGACAACCTTTAGCTCCGTTCTTTTGCATCAGCCCTGGCCCCCTCTGGTGCAGCAGCCTCCCAACCACTGCTTCTCCATGAACTACTCATGGAGACAAAGTACTCTGGGAGGAAGTAAATTGGGACCACATTAGCTGGTGACCTTCGCCCTGCAATTGGACTGCCTTTCGGATGATAGAGGAAATCCCTCATACAAACTGACAACCAATATGAAACAGGCAGCTCCATTTACTGGAAAGCCTGGTCAATGCTGAGTGCCTCATTAGGAAATGGTCTCTATATTGAGGCACATTCCTGCAATTCAGAGCCTAGAAACTCTAAATTAAAACAACATTGATGCCATATCCTCTTTCCAAAATGCCTCTCTTCATCCAAACTTTAATACACATACTTAAAGAAATTAAAGAACCAAAATATCTTTGGCAGGACTCCTTCCCTGTCTTTTGCAGTAATACCCTGCCCGTGCAAGTGACCAAGAATCTGACAGTGTTCGGAAGGGAGAAAGGAGAGTTAAAGCATAGAATAACTGCAGAGTCCTTCAGAATCTGTACAACCTTTCCTTGGTGAATCCATGTCTTCACCAATATTTTTAAATAAATAAGCACCACTTGAAATTTCAGGGCTGAAGAAACTGGATTTATTTTCTTTAAGCAGTAAATTGAGGCTTGTGGGTAGAATGAGTTTTTTGTTATTGGAGAGAGTTAGTTGTATCCTTCCACACCCTAAGAACGATAAATTAACAGTGAGTCAGTCTGCAGTGGTAGCTATTGTAGCAACTCAATCAGCACAACCCACGAAAAGGCACAGTCTGAATCCTATCACACACGCTTGGATCCATCCACACTTGCTATTGCTGTGTAGTCAGAAAACTGCTTTCTTAAAGCATTATCTTGGTCAGAGGCCCTTTCCAGTTTGCAGTGAGATTCAGCAATCAGGAATATGGTGCCTACCACAGCATGCGTAACTCTTCACACAAACACCTCCTTCCGATATTGCTCAGCATTTCTGTTTGCATCCTATGTACACGGAAAGAGGAATCTTTTAGTCAACTGACTGCAAGCCAACTGAAAGAGCTGCTTTCCCACCACAAAGTCTAAGAATTTCCTAGAAATGGGATGAAGTACCAAATACTTATCAGGGAGCTCAACAGCTCTGAAAAAATGTTAAAGGCAGAAGGAAGGAATTCCTGAGGTCAGGATCCCAGCTCTGAATGTGAATGGTTGAATAAACCTTTTAGGTTCCAGAACTGCTTTTTGAAGTCTTCCAGAACATCTTGATTAACTGGTATTACTTGCATTTCTTGAACAGCTGTGTTCAATGCATCTGCAAATCTGAAAGATTTTTCATTAACAATTTCTACTGTAAATTTAGGAATTACAGCTATACTTTTGAGAAGTTCCTGAAACTCTGTATAGTCTTGTGGTGCTGGTAAACAAAGAGACAGACCTTTGTTCCCAAGATGTAGAAAAGGGTCCATGTAGAGAAAACTTAAATTGATGAACCAGCTCAGTTGTTCTGTTGCAAAATATGCGTCTGGTGACCTGTAATAACTGAGGAGGACCACAGGGGCCAAGTACAGAGGTTACTTGCAAAGCATGTGGAAAATTGAGATTCGCTTTGACTATATCAATAGAGGATCCTGCAAAATCTCATAGCCTTCTCTTCTGTGCTATCTCATATTTCTGGAGCTGTCAAAATTGGTATGATTTGAATTGATGCAGAAAAGGTATGTATCAAAACTATTAATACTGAAGAAAAAAAAGTGATTTGGGATCCCCTGCAACTTAAACAGTTGGTGAGTATTATTGTCCCATAATGAGTAACTTTGAGGAGTTTTTCTTTCAATGCATTGAAAGCTGCACACACAAAAAGATGAAAGATGATGCACCTTAAGTTGTAGGACTGATTTTGGGGAGGATATGTCAAATCCCTCTTAAGTCAAATAAATATTTCTCAGTTATGGTTTAAATATAGTTTAGACTGTTTATATACATAAACATACATTCTGCCTTGGGGATTGGGAATGTACTGGAGAATACCTTGCAGCCTCATTATCTCTGATTTTATGTTTATACTTACACTACTTATATATAGCTTGCATTATACTAGTCGTAGCAGAGATGTGTGCAGTTAATTTCTGCTTTCTTCTTTTTCTTTTTTTTTAAGATGACAGTATTAAACAACCTTAAACAATGGCATCTCTTTATAGCTGACGGTAGTTTCGGAATCAGAAACTTCAAAAGCATTTGGATATTCCAATGAATTTCTTGAAAAAGGACTAGTGCTTCTTTTTTTAAAGAAACAAAACATCAGCTGAGAATTGTTCTCACAATTTCAGATTAATCTCCTTCGCATTTTTAGTTTATTTGGTAAATCAAGTATCACAGAGCTATATAGAAAAGCACTTAGAATGGACATCAAGGAAATGTCTGTGTCTTTTTAGGAATAGAATACGGTATTTTAAGACTTACTAACATTGAACAATAATGATATGACCTACAACTTAAAAAAATCACCTAACTGAAACCTAATCATTAAAGATAACCACAATCTTAATGGATAAATCAAGTATCACAATATTTCAGCAAAAAAACCAACCCACCACAAGTCACTTGATTGTTCTATCTACCCACAAAGGATAATCCAAAGGAAACTGGGAAAGGTTAAGAGGCATGAAATGCTGGAATTTAAACTTAGGATAACAAGAGATGACAATAAAGTTCCAATTTATCTTGGAATTAGTGATAATGTACATTAACTGCTACACCTACAGACAATTACATAAAGAAAATGAGTACTTTCTATTGCTGTGGCCACTTCTGAATCCTGTAGGAGGTCATCTGGCTGACAAGTGAAAGTAATTATAACCGTTGCTCAACAGTAAATAATACAAGACTGTAAACTACACTTCTTGCTTGTTTTGAAGCTGGTGTAATAATCATAATTACTGTCTGTCAGTTAAATTTAAATAACTGTTATCTTAAAAATCCATGCCCGTCCACATAACCCAGTTGTGTTTCCTAAGGAAGGAGCAGAGAAATCCCTTATCAGAAAGCAAGCTGGTTTTGTCTTACTGTCTTTGACAGCAACAGAAATAAACTGATTGACAGATGAAATGTTGCACATAAAACTTTATGAAGATGGAAACGATGACACTAGAGGAGTTGATACCGGATTGGCAGCAGCTTATGTGCTATTGCAGGGAATGTGGCAAGGGAGTAACTCAGAAAAAACAGCAGAAGTGATGAAGTGAGGAATCTACATAGATTTTTTCAGATCCTAAATCTCTTATTGCCAGGGATGCCTTTTGCCTCCTCTGTGTTTTATTGGCAATGTATATTTCACACTGCATTCAACACTGAAACCCAATATTAAATGCTTGAATAGAAACACTTTTTTTCTTATTGCTATGCCAACACAAAAAAGATCCTAGAAATGGGAGAGGCCAGAAATACAAAAGGGCCAATCCCCTCAAAAGTACAAGACCTCCCAAATTCCACTCTAGTAGCTAGCATTCCCATATGGTACTCCTGTCACAGATTTGAAATCACAGTAGAGACTGTGTGAAGTAACACATTCATATTTGAGCTTTAGAGCAACAAGAATTTTCTTCCCTGACAAGGCAAATCCAGACCACCAAGAGAAGTATCACTACATTTCCCTGAATCTGTGGTTATTTGTACCTGTAGAAGCTAATAACCAATGTTTTTTCCATTCACAGCTCCCTATACATTCTACCACACAGGTACTACTCAGGCAAGTGACACAAAGGAACTTCCCTCACCAAGGAGGCTTCTTCTCTCCCCCCACATTCTAACCAGGCTTCATGATTGGTAGCTAGTTTGAAATTGTTATTTATACACTTTCTATCCCAGCCTTTGACAGGATTACACATTATTAGTTCCATAAATCAAAGTAATAATCTCACACCAGATTATTAACTGCTTTCTTTCATAGTCCCCCCCTACCCACCTGCTGCTTGAGCTGTTGCACAAGACGGTCCTTCTCTCGTTTCAGTGCAGCCACTTCATCTTGGGTCTTCTTCTTAGAGGACGAGAGTTCTAGTAGAGCAATATTGGCATCTTTTTCACTAATGGCAGCAAGGAGGGCTTCTTGTCTGAAAAAAGACCATATAAACATATTATTATTCTGCAAAACTCAGAGGAAGCCTTTACAAAGAGTTGAATATACCATACATGTTGTAGCAGCATGCAACTCTGAAGAACAGTAATAAATGTTTGTCGTGGTTCTACATTGGTGGAGCAGGAAGCCAAGACCTATCCGCCTACCCCTAAATGACTGCACTGATGCCAAATTATTGCCCACAGGGTAAGAAAAACATGTGATGATATGTTAGTATTCTGCACTCAGCTTCTCAGTTTTTAGTAACTACCATGTATTATTACTTTGGCTGAATATTTTAATTCTTTGTAATGTTCTATACATTTCCAGAAGATAATTTGAAAATGCATGCACAAATAATAGACTAATGATACGACTTCTGTGTTAAATTATATTAGCTTATACTGCCTATTCATGCAGCTATTTAGAAGGAAGGCAGCATGTGAGAAGTTTATTGAAATCACTTAACAATACAGTGTATTCCCAGAAGGAGATGATGACACAGACTCTTTTGTTCTACATGACAAATGTTGAAATAGATGCCTTCAAGGTTGACTGAGCTATTCTTTGACTTTTCTTGTGAGTAACCAATATAATGAGCTTGCTGGATGCATGTCCTGACTAAGACAAAAGTAGGCCAGCCTTCATCACAAACTTTTTGCAGCCTTGTGGAAATGGTGTAAGAATAAACATTTTCTTCTTGATCTTGAGCAAGATCTTGAGACTCAAGCACTGTAATAACTAGACATAGAAAGACAACCATGCCATAATCTCTCCCAATAGCAAAAACCTTAAAAATAGAATTCAGAAGCATTTTATGGATACTGGCTAGAGAGGAGATGAAGACTATAGCCTGAGCATAAAACAGCAGTTCTAAAATGAACTCAAAGGATTGCTCAATGGTAGGAAAACATCTATTTCTGTCCTCTGACCTTAATTCTCATCTTTAGATTGTGTGGCCAAATCAGGATGCGCATCAGGACATAAAAAACCCCTTACTGCCTCATAAGGGTGGCTTGTCCCACCTCTCATTACCTTGAAGAGAAAATGAGGTCCTAAACATTTATGGCAGTGTGAAAGATGGCATCATGCAGGAGTGATGATGAAAAACAAACACTGCATGCTACTGATTTCCTACCTACTTTTCAGCAAAAAAATTAGTTGCAAATGCAGTTAAACCAGTAAAAACACCAAATTCCCAAATAATACAGATTTTTACCTGCCCTAGTTTACAAGCAAAAGCATATTAATATTGCTGATTTCAGAGAATGGTTTTCTCAAAACAATCAGATGTGTTACAACTATTATGCTAATTATGCCAATAGCAATTCTTATGCTAATAACGTTGCAGCAACAGTCTTCTATTAAAGATGCAAGAAGAGTTATAGAAACTTAATGTAAAATATTAAGATTGCTTTTAATGATACCAATACATCTGCTTGTTGTCAAGATCTTTTTTAATAAAGACCTATCACAATCTGGTTACTTAAGATCACACTGGCAAACTGTTGAGGGTGGCAGTGACAATAAAACAGCTTTTTAATAATTCACTTGTTATCACTCCTTGAGCAGACTTTATTTGTAGCAAAACAGCTTTGTTTTTTTCTTCCTGTCTTCTTTCTAAACAATTTTACTTAATCTTAGTTAGGAAATTCTAATTGTTGCTAAAATAAAAATACTTGCTCCAAAAGTACTCATTAAGCTCCATGTGAAAGAATACATGACCGAGAAAAATAAGGGGAGAACAGGACAGATGTCAATGATTTTACTTAATACTGGTGTTTTAAACAAATGCATGTAATATACTGGACTTTTAAACTGAAGGCTTGAAAAGGAAAAGGACTGGTATCACTGGAGTACAGAAATTTTCACCTGTTAAAGTCCTGAAAAACTTACAAATTTGGTCAGCATGAAAAGATGTATTTACTACTGCCATGTTTCTTGAGGATGGAAAGTGAAATAGCTTCAGTACTTCAGTATTTAGATCAAATGTGCAGGGAGATCCATACCTGCTGCTCAGCCTGACAACTTACTGTTCTAGGTTACTTATTTAGTAATCTCTTTGATCTGTAGGAATAACTGCACATATATTTCCTTCTTGACCTTGTTCTAAAAAACTGACCAATACTGTTTTGCCTTAGAACCCCCCCAACACATTATTTCAATGGAATGGGACACATACAGAGAAGACAGTAGTCTCTCAGAAGCCGCTCAGGGCTACGATGTTTTAATCCAGCTCAGCAACAGCCAGCACAGCACTTTTGCCTGCGGAGTTATGTGAAAGGCATGCTGTCTCCACAGTCCCAGAGCTGAAACCACCAGGTTATGAGGTTGTTTCTCTTTGAGAGTTGAAGGGGTGAGATACCACATTTGAAAAGCTCTTGCTATTTTTTTACAGGTGTAAAAAAACCAAAATAAAATAAAATAAATACTGCTTTCACTTGAAGGTGTGAAATTTTGTTAAGACAATGGATGAAAATGGACTCAGTGCTGAAAAAGTCCATGATCGCTTTCAGATGAGTGAGAGCTGGGATGGAAGAACAATTTTTTCTTACACATTTCAGGTTTAGGTGAGAAGAGGATAACACATGATGTGGCTTTCTTCTGATCCCAGTCAGGGACTGAGCTCTTGGAAATATTTATGACAGTTAAAGACCTCTATCACAGCACTGGAGAATAAAAACCCAACTGGTAAGATATGATCTCTGTTCATCCCCTCAGTCACTCCCAACAATTGCTAGAGTTTTGCTGAAGCTACCATACACAGAAGTTTGCTATTATCAAGATCTCAACTGAAGCTATATATCGTAATCAAAAAATGTGAAAGAACCACATATTCCAAGAGGAAAAGGTGTGTTTCAACAGAAAAAACTATTCACCATCTGACAGCAGAATGGACTTACACAATGAACTTGCTGCGAGTGGAAATCATCTCTGCACTTATACAGGTGTTTCTTGTACATGCTAAGAGAGCAAGCTTGCTTTATGCAGACTACCAGCATACAAAAAATGTGACAGATCCAGTTTAGAAAGTACCTGGATCCTGCTTAGATTGTATCTAGAAAAACTAGCACCTTAAATTATTCCTTGGCTTTCAAGACACGATACCACTGATTTAGGCAATTTTCTTCAGAAGAATATCAAAAGATAATCTAAAGACATTTACGCTATGAAGAAACACAAAGATTATGATGACTTAATGGAGACAGAGTAGAAGAAAGGAAAAGGTGCACATCAGATTCCCAGTTAGAGTGTTAAAATTGTAGGTGTGGGAACAATTGATAATGGGTGCATTATTATTGTCACTTTGTTTGAGTTGCTTTTGCTCTATGGAATAGTATTCAATTTTGGATGTATGCCTGAAACATGAAAAATATCAATAGAGTGAAGTGACAGAACATGATCCATGACCTCTGCTTTTTTCCAGCTATCATAATCCTGGGAAAACCAGGCTGGCTTGGAGCTCTGGTCATTTTCACTTTCTTTAGAGTAATCTGTTTTGATTCTAAAGAAACACTTATTCTTTTAATAGTAAACCCACAATTCTTGCTGATGATTCAGGACCAGAGCCAAGAATATCTCTGTAACAGTATCTATATAGCTATTACTCTGGTATGGAAATTGGAGGTACCTCAAATAACACACAAATCATATCTTCCGCAATCAAATCCTCTGTTGTCCATCTCTACTTCTTAAGTGAAAACTCCAGGATCAGGACTATGAGATACGGAGAGCAGCCTATTACTTATTTTTTGCTGAATAATCTTCACCACCATGCCTTAACCAATTATCCAAAAATTTCAGTGTTATATTGTGTAAGAAAGAGGTGCTGGTCAAGTAGAGGGGTGAAAGCTGCTGTGGCTTTCTGACTGTTTTCTGGAACTGAAACAAGATGGAGTTTGAACTCCTCTCCAGTTGGACATTGAGCCATTGACTGGAACTCTTTGCATGTGACATGTAGCCGATTCTTTACCCACCAAGCGGTCCATCCCTCAAATTGATGTCTCTCCAATTTAGAGACAAGGATGTCATGTGGGACAGCATCAAACGCTTTGCACAAGTTCAGGAAGATGATGTCAGCTGCTTTGACCCTGTCCATCATAGAAGGCCCCTAATCTGGTCAGGCAGGATTTCCCCTTAGTGAAGCCATGCTGGCTGTCACCAAGCACCTTGTTGTTTTTCATGTGCCTTAGCATGCCTTCCAGGAGAATCTGCTCCAAGATTTTGCCAGGCACAGAGGTGAGACTGACTGGTCTCTAATTCCCTGAGTCATCCATTTCCCCCCTTCTTGAAAATGGGGGTTGTATTTCCCTTTTTCCAGTCATCGGGAACTTCACCTGACTGCCATGATTTTTCAAATATGATGGCCAGTGGCTTACCAACTTCATTTGCCAGCTCCTTCAGGACCCATGGATGAATTTCACCAGGTCCCATGACTTGTGCACATACAGGTTCCTAATATGGTCTTGAACCAGATCCTCTCCTACACTGGGCCTAAGGTCTTCATTCTCACAGTCCCTGCATCTGCCTTCCAAGATATGAGTGGCTAGAGCACTTAAATGGCACACGCTGTTCTCAACAGAGCTTGGAATTGCTAAAATTATTCTAAAGACCACAAAAAGCAAATATCAGCAAGCAAAACACAATTTTTGTGATTAAAGAGCACTATAAAACTGACCTGTCTCACTTCTTGAGAGCTGTTATCCCCAAGGAGACCAAAAGAACATGCTGTAAGACAGGTGAGGTGACAAGAAGGAGACAATGGACTGCTGTGTGAATGATGCACATGAACAAACCTATCTGTCAGGAGTGTTGCAGTGAATCTTAAGAGGCTCAGCTTCGCTTCAGGTCACAATCAGTGGTACATGTACAGCTTCTTCAGCAAACTGTGTCTTCAGTTCACAAGATCAAAGGCCCTGAAATGTTCTAAAAGGCAGGCACAGCCCAAGATGGTTGATCTTTTAAAAGGCTAGCTAACGTCTGAGTTGCTACATA